ACGCCTGCCCATGACAAACCGAGAGCAAAGCGCTGATAGATTGAAGTGACGTAAGGGGCAATCTAAAAGAAAGATCACAGCTCATAATGTAATTATAAACACAAAACATAAAGTAAGTTGCAAATTTTGAGAAAGGTCTGATGTTTTATCCCTTTGACGGCAGTGTAATGTATATGTAGCATATAGTATTTCTTATATTCAAGACTATTACACTTCACGAAAACGTCATATGAGAGATAACTCGACAAAAGCAGAACAGTAACCTAGTAAACGGAGACTTTCCGCTTCATCGTTTATGCAATATAATTAGCAGACTTCAGTGTTAACTGTTGAAGCTAGAAAGATGAAGTAATTTCTGTGTGAACTCACCCAATGAAGTACTGTGCGGTAGATGAACAAGTAGTGAAGAGATGAGGAAACTGCAAGACGACGCTGCAGGCGAACGAATAAAGCTGATAGAAGGACAGTGTCGTCGTCAAGCGGAGATCCTTAGAATCAAAAAATGTGTTGAATAGGAAACATTCTGTAGAATAAGAAAAAAATGGCGGAGTTGCGAACGCGTGTGTGCATGTGCCGTCACTAGTACAGTTATGGCCCTGACCATGAGATCAATGCCGGCTCAAATACCGGCTATACAGTCACCATCTTCGCTGGAGTCGCTTAAGGCTAGTGTCAGAGTCCGCGTCGCAGGTTTCGCTGATTTGCGCGATTTTCGCGATTCACGCGACGGGTCACGGAAATCACAAGTGCCCGATCAATACTGCAAGGTGTTCTCCAATCCCGCCGCCACTTCTGCTTGATAGTGATGGCTGAATGACGACTGCTCATGATTCCACTTGTTTCATATTCAGTGTTTCAAATGTTCAAATGGGGCACTTGCAATTTTTGCGATCCGCGCGAAGCCTGCGACGGATCACAGGAATTGAAAGTGCCCCGATCAATCCTCCTACTTTTTTCACATTATGGGGAGCCGCCATGGCAAGCACGGCCGAGCCAGGTAGTGCCCGCCAACTGTGCGAAAAATTTGAAAACGCTCCAGCACAGTTCAACAGGAACGAATCATGAGCATTTCAATGAACTAATAGACATTGAACATGAAACAAGTAGAATCACGAACAGTCGTCTTTCAATCTTCACTGTCAAGCAGAATTCGCAGCAGATAGACAGCATCTCGCAGTATCATCGGGCACTTCCAACCTGTCTTGGGATCTCATCGCAGTTTTGCGCAAATGCAATCGCGCGAACCTGCGACGGAGCACGAGTCGACCCGGGCCCCCCCCGCCCCCCAGCCGCCGCCCCTCCCCCCCCCCTCCCCCCCTCCCGCCCCCCCCCCCGAGCCTTAATGATAGATATTGCTGAGAGGTAGGATCTCCCCTTCAACAACCACGTCCCACCCCCCCCCCCACCCCCCCCCCCCCCACCCCCCCCCACACCCCCCACACCCCCCCCACCCCCCCCCCCCCCCCCCCCCCCCCCCCCCCCCCCCCCACCCCCCCAACCCACACCCACCCACACACACACACCACACACAACAGATACTAGCTTGAACAGCATAACACACACAAGCGGTGCCCTTTTACTAAACTAGTTCTTGAGAAACGAAGAACGGCACCACAACAACCCAAGAGATTGCCCAGCTTTATTCACATACCAAACCATCCGTACAAAAAATCGTGTGAAATAAAAAAAAGGCAAAACTGAATGCACAGCGATTTTAGTAATATACATGAGAGCGTTCAAAATATTCCCATGAACAACCACACTCGCCACACACCAAACTTACAAATGCAACAGGACTCGTAAACACACTTGTTGCCAGCTGCCCTATGTGCACAACGCGTTTATCGCAATTGCACCTCGAATATCCAATATTAACGCTAATACATTAGTGAAACTGCTTTGCGCTACTTACGTTCTTGTTCATTTGAATGTTAGTACTAGCTACTAGGCGCGGCTATCCTAAGCCCGATGGTGGCTGCGATTCAATGTGGTGGAAACAAACCGAGGTTAAATAGATCTGCGCTAACATAAATGTTCGGTAAGGCCAGTACGCTCAGCTTTATATTGAACATTTGTGCCCGTAGCCACGACGCCATCTTCAACATTCCTGTTGCCGCGAACTCATTATGTGATTTGCTTAATAAGGTTAGTCACTTGACAAATAAGAGTTACAACTGCTATGTTCTGTACCTGATTGATGGATGAGATGATCACTACGTCTTAGGGTAAATAACGCCCGAAAAAGTACTGCGAGGATATGACGTCTTTCCGTGGCTGAGCAACGGAATTAAGGAAAGGCCGATTTCGGATTAGTAGGTCTGGGATTTTTCGTAGCGTTTTCGCTGTAAAACCTTTCTGGCATCAAGAGACGAACCGAAGAAGTGAGGAACCGCAGAACACGTCCACCGGAGGTGATCCAGGTAACCAAGAAACGAAACAGCGGCACTTGGTTTTCCATGAATTTTTGCTTCAAAAAACGATCAGTGCGTGGGCTTCAAGGCTGAATCCTCTCGCTGCTCTCTTTTCGGGCATCGAAAATATGAAATGTAATCATGCATGACTATTTTGAACCTCGCAAAACGACGACAACGAGAATTAAAATGCTGTTACAAAGCAAAACGCAAATCATTCAGTCAGAAAATTATTTAATGATCTGCATTTCGGGTGTTGCGAACTTAGCAACGAGTTTGAAGATGAAAGCACAAAAAATAAAGACAGTCCCTACAGCCATACAATGAAGTCTCTGCGATTCACAGTTGAAATGTAAGTGAACAAAACTTGAAGTAAGTCGAACCTCGCAAAAATTGCATGAGCACGGTTTCAATCGTTACGAGAGTTCCACTCCGACCACATCCATCCAAACATTGAACTATTGTCGGGCTTTTTTGAAGACGAGCTCTGAACTCAACAAATCATACGCTTCCACGACCACGTAAAATGCGAAATGTGGTACAGTCATAGAAGCCCAATCCCGAACCGAAATGCTGGCCTGGGTTCTCACTGATAAGCAAATAAGTACAGCTATTGGTTGGGACCATCTGCCAACAGCTGTGCTGATATACGGGCAACATACCACTCACTTTCTCAGAACGCGGAAGGGCCAGTGCACGTCATACATATTCTGCCAGTCCCACTGCCAATGTTCCACACGCAGTATATCAGCGTCGTTGTTGCTATCGACTGGTTGAACTTCCTATACATTTAAAAATTGTAGATATGATATAAAATCATCTGCTTTTGAGTTACCAAATGTGTGACGTTGAATAAAGGATCCACTGTACCGTCGACTCGGACATTGCGTACAACAAGCGAACCGTACCTGCGCGATTCTCCCACTGATCTAAAGTGTTGACAATTATTCAAGTAACTGGAACACATGAAAGTTTTACGGTCCCCTTCAGCGTTTGAACATTGCACTAGGAATTTCTCAGAACCAATAGACTTCAGTTTCGATAACAGATGATTTTGGACTACGGTTGAAGCCAATTCCTTGATTAGTCCGCAGAAAAGGATCTTACCGTGGCCAGTAGTACTGACAGTTGGGAGAGGGCGAACGATCTAAAGGTCCTAAAGAATGCTTATCCATCGCACTACACAGCATTATAATGAATCGTGATTGCTCTTGATAAACCTGAAAGTAATTCAACAAGCATGAACCCACTTGTTGAATTCAAATATTGACAATAGCAACAGATCTATGACAAAAATCGTGAAAGACATCCTTGAAAATGTCAAAACAATTACCATTCTCCAGAAATCGGCCTGTGTATTTTGTAACGGTGCTTGGGTGCAGATGAAGGTATTCAACAATGGACCACCGCGAACATAATTCGCGTGTATGAAGTCTGGGGTACCACTAAATCGAGAATAATCAGATTCTTGATAACGCAAAATTTCTCACTCTATACTGACGTCGTTTCAACAGAGCAACTAGGCGGAACAATCAAATAAGTCGCAATATGAACCACTCACCTCATGTGATTACTCGGGAGTCCTAAAACAATACTTTTACTTTACGGGTAGCAACCATTATCGGCCGACCCACGGGCTCGAAGATACTCTTGTTTCCAAAGGGCTCGAACGGCCGTGTTCTGCGCCGAAACAGCCTTCCTCTCCGCACATTAGTACCCAATAACTGTGAGCAAGAATCTATGTAGCCATCAGAATTTGGCTCCCAAACAGTGATTTTAACCCTTTCGGACCTGAATTTTTCCCCGTGGAGAAATTTTTCTTCTAGCTATTGTTTATTACTTGTGAGCATATAGGTATCATTATGGCGAAATTTGGAAGCTATTCGATCACAAAGAAACTAAGAAGCTTTGAAAATTGGCCACCTTCTTAGTTTTTAAGCTTATGTCGAAACAATTCGAAATTTCATAGTTATGCCGAAAAAGTTTATAATCTTGCATAACATTATAACCCATAATTTTGATTTAGGAATGGATCTACTTCAAGTATTTTAAGAAAAAGTCACACTTACTTGGCCGGTTGCGGGGGTCAGCGCCCATTCATTGTTGCACTTGTACACAAATACTTGTAATACTAACAGCAATAAACAATGAAATGGCCGGTTTAGCTCATAATTAGGAAGGTGAAGGTTGACTGAAGCAAGCTCTAGCAGGATTAGAAAAACCATGCTGTTTCAGCGGAAAGTAAGCGTTTGAATTTGGTGGTGGCAATGCTATCGCAGGGCCGAGGGTTACAAAATACTGCGCATCAATCGTAAGGCCTATCAGACTCTGTGAATCGGTCGCGTCGCGGCCAGTGAATCACTCAATTGGCTGGTACCGCAACGCGACCGCGGACGCTAGCGAATCGCTAGTAGCGAATCGCGCGATTCGCAAAGTCTGACATCGGCCTAAGGTGGGTTAATGATCGCGCATCTGTTCTTCAGCACTGGGGACGTAAACTGGCTATTCAACGCTCACGGAAAGTGATACGTACTACGTTGGTTTTTCGTCTGAACTTCAGTCGAGTGCTCCCCACAAATCTCCTCTTCATTAGATCAGCGCACGGAATTCATTTGGTGGAGTGCCGTCATCTTGCAAACGAACACGGGTAATGTCGCAACAAGGGATTACTGAATTGAGAAACTAATACAATCTTAAACACGCTTACATGAACCACATAGAACTTAATAAAGAAAAATTAAAAATGGCCAAATATTACGTTTGCTCCGAGCTTTTGTAAGATAGTTCAAGTTGAATGCGGTCTGCGAAGCCTCTTCAGGGCTCAGTTCATTCACAGAAAAGAATGACTCTAAGCGATTGAATTCAGCAGTGAAATCCTGCTGCAACCGAGGGCTCAACATTGTAATCGGTGACACCAACTACAAAAACAATTGTGAAAAGGCTCACCATTAGATGGCAATTGAATTTGCCCGGTTCGATGAGAATTGACCATTTTACGCGATCGGCCATCTGCTGAGCAAACCTTGAGATTCGTGCAGCTATCTGCGCCGAAACTTCTTCTGGCTGGCGATACCAGTTGTGCAGAGGATCTCTCTGTAAAGATATCCATGAAAAGTATCACAAGTTCAAATAAAGCACGGAAAGACCTTTTTTCTGGAGTAGTGAAAAATAAAAACCTAGTTGAAGAACTGAAAAAAAAACAAAGAAATCTAAACGAGAGATGGAATGTTATTACTCTTTTCAGTGCTTGCCAAAAACAGCAGGAAATTTATGTGTTAAGACAGAGTCTAATTTATGGGTTAAGACACAGCTTTGACAAAAGCAGAGAAAAAATCGAAAGTAATTTCCATAGCCAATGTAGAAATGTAGAAATTGGCCTTTTCTATAGTACCCTAACATCAAAGATTTCATTTGTGGCCGATATAAGGATTCATGTTCTTATAGTAACCTTAAAGGTACATCAAATCTCTGGTAAACAATGAAAAGCTTATCTAAGCACTCGAAAAATCGTCTTACGCTCTTTAGGCGATTGAAATGTGACGCGGCTTTATAAAGTACACTGCTACACTCGCTGATTGAAGGAACTAGACGATCCTTAAGCCATCCAGTCATTTCCTCACTGAAATGTAAATACTTGTAAAGTAGGAACTGCCCCTTTGATATTACTCCGCAGGAACTTTTATCAATGAAAAATTTTACCCGTATTTTCTAACGAGATCGGTTTCATCCAGCTCAAAGAAGCCGGACTGGACGACCATGCTTTGGATTAGCTCAAGTCGAGTCTGTTCATCACAGAGTATACCGTCAACTTTGAACAGCTTTTGCGCTATAAACGTCTTCAACTCAGAATCCTCATAAGCTTCCTTAATGGAAAAGGTCAACAAATGGAAAGTAAAGTTGTCAGAGAACATCATAGTTCAGCTAGATTACGGAAATACTCACTAGACGCTTTAGCAGAGCTCTGTCTGTGAAATAATGAATACACCGCTCTATGATGCCGTCTTTGTTCCGAGACTAAAACTAATACCTTTGTTAGACCATAGGAACATATTGTCTATTGCCGTTCATAAGGAAACCAGCCAGCAAGCCACTGTTACTTGCTGGTTGGTTGTACACGAGCGGACAAAGTAGACGTCGGTGATATTGTAATTAAAGTGAGTCGACGTTGACTTTGAACGAATTACAATGAAACATGAAGACTGTGACAAAAGATAACCTCAAAAATCTGCGCCTCGACGCTTGCTTTGCGTCCATCATCCTCGAAGGCCTCGTCTATAATAGCGTCCTGCAAGAACCCTTCATGAAGCTAGTTGTGCTTTTCCCTGAACACCACTATTAGTTTGCGCAGACTGGCGCGAAATAGCGTCAGCGAATTGTTGCATTCGAAACCCGGCTTATGGACATTCGTAACCCCTATAAGTGGAGTTCAAGAATTTTATTGGCCATTTCAGAGCAGTGCAGTCGTGGGAATTGGTACTGCAGTAAAAATAGCTCCCAAAAAACAGCACAACAACGCTTTTTTGACGCTATTGTCCGTACCACTAAATGTGCAATTACGTCACGTCCCGCTGCGGGAAACAAGGTGTACCTTGTTTACGCTGCATTGACCATACTGCATGTTCAGAGACATACTACTTCTACCAGCTCTACTAATTGTAAGCAGCAAAAAGCTAAAATGGTAGAGCAAGTAAAGTTCGTATAAAAAGGAACATAGAAGCGAAGCCTAGCCTTGCTGTAGCAGCCGGTGCTCGAAATAGGCGTAAGGTAAAGGAACACCTTTATACCATTTGCACCAAGGCTTTCGATCACCTTTAACTCGATCCTTCAAGAAGCGTCCCTTGGTTCCCTGCATCCTCTGAGTCATTAATTCTCTTGCTAGCATGTCATGTTCGAAGCTGGAACAGCAGCTAATCCCCACCCTTCCGCGCTCTACCCTCACCACAGAAACATGAAGGAAAGTCCAAATGGTCACGCAACCGTCTCGGGATACAACTGAATGTGATCCGTGACTAGTCCTCAGATGAACTTAAGGAAGCATGAGCGTAAAAATGGTGCCCATATTTGTTGTATAAAAAGATGATGAAAAGAACCCACGTGGAATTCGATACTACTAGCCACAGAGTTCGTGTCGAATCGTGTAGTTGTCCGCCCCTCCATACAACCTTGAATAAGCATTCAATTAATATGACGGCATCAAGTATGCAGCTATATAGTGAAAGTAG